CACACACACACAGCTGGACACACATACACAGATGCAATCACTCTCTGTTCAGCTGCCAAGGCTAAGTGCCCTAAATCTGCAAGATCTCTATCAAATTTGCAGACCTAATGAGAGTAATTGCTCAGTGTAATTGTACATGCACATATGTGTGTGTGTTGATTTCTTGTCTTTGAATGTGTGTTGAGCCTCAGTATGTGTACTCAGCTCAAACCTCTGCCACATCATTTGTTAGAATTTCTTTGTACTCAGTTTTAAGACAAACATCTCTTGGCAGATCCCATCACATGCTCTCTCTCTGACATGCACAAACACACAGGCGCTGTTGTCTGATTGATAAGATGTCTGCTGAGAGGACTATCTGATCATTTCAACATGGTTGTGTTGACTGCGGCTTTGCTCAGATCAACTCTCCCTTCTTCTGTTGCTTTTGTTCTGAATCACTTTTTCGCTGTCACTGTAACTTTGCTTCAATTTTTGAGGTACATCAGATGTGGAAAAATTGAGTTGTACTGCAGATGGAGGCCGTTTTTTGTTATTAATATTATTCTATTGTAATCTATTCTATTACTTCCCTGGTTATTCCAGAACATATTTGTTCTATATATGTTTTGTCTGGCTACAAAGCTACTTATTGAAGAAATGAAGCACACTCTATTGTTGCTTTTACTGTAAGTCACTTTGGATAAGAGCATCAGTGTAATACCTAACATGTAAATGTTTATACAAAGACCACAAAGTTGCAGTGAATTGCATGAGATGTAATATAGTGCCTAATGAAGAAACTGGCAGGAGATCACAAGTTTTTTTTTTGTTTTTGTTTTTTTTGCAAGTAGACTGTTTAAAATGATTCAGTGAAGACTTCCTTTCAACATGAAGTTAGAGGTACAATGGTATGATTACACATCACATCACATTTGAGAATTTTTGTGTGGTTCAGACAGGTTGTTTCAGACAGAAAGAGAAGAGAATTGCATAACTGCATATAAAGTCAGTGCAATAATACAAGTGAATGTGACTGTGAATTAAGTTGAAGACATCCATTCAGGCTGAAAATGTTTCAGCTAGATCAAAAAACATTGGAGCTATGTGATTTGATTAACAGTATCTTGACTTAAAAAGGTACCTTCAAGAATTTTCAACTATGGAACAATGTTTTTATAATTGGCTCCCTGTATTGTTTGTGTCAT